CTGGAACCCCTGCGGTAGGCCCAGAATAAGGAGCTCGGAACGATCCTTGAGACCCACTACGGACTTGAGGCTCTTCACCTCGTCGGCAACACGATTGACTTTGTTTAGAATGGAAGTCTGGGTGGCTCTGATCTCGTTCCGAAATTCAGTGAATTCATTATTCACGAAGCCAGAAAACCATGCTGGTGGTTTGTCGCCCGTGGTAGATGCCATGCTATCCAGCAAGTGGATTTGGTCCGTACTGGAGGAAGAAACAGTGGGAAGGGCAGCCGATCGGTCAGCACTACAGAAGTCACTCCGGGATTCCACTCTCGACGTCTTCGATGGGAAAAGCTCGTAAGGTAATGCCTGTCTCTCACGGCCTGAGGTTTCGATGAAAGGCAAAGTGCCAGCTGAAGCAGAGTCGATTTGAGTGGAAGGAGGGGATTTCAAAAATGCGCCACCGGACTAACGAGAGTTGGCCAAAACCGCAGACTGAATAGAGCAGGCACGACAAGTAAAGGTTGCAAGGTCAGAGTTTGAGGTTATATGGAAACAATGCTGATGGAAAGATCTATCACAGGACTCGCACTGCAAGATATTAGCACCCAGATAACTCAGCGCTTCACCACACTCGGCGCATGAAGACAAGACCATTTGATAAAAGTGAAAGGTTTGAAAATTTAAAAACTAGTTGAGACAAAAAATAAAAATTCATAGATTGTGTCAAAAAGTTTCCCATATCTCCTCTCCGGATTTTAAAACTTCACAAGAAACTGTAACAAATGAGATAATTTAAAGGACCGATTGACACGACAAATTGAATAGTTTGAATTTCGCGCGAAAATTTGAGTCGCTGACCAGTCATAAACGGTAGTTGTGAAAAGTCTGGATTTAAAAGATTTGAAAATTGGCGCCTCAGTGGCACCAACTCAGTTAGTTAAGGATCAAAAATTGGCGGGAGATACGGGAGTAAAATGATGCCATTTACAAGAGACGGTAAGGGAATTCGCAAATTAACCTAGAGATGATTAAAACGCAAAAATAAATAAGTAACTTATACGCAAAAATGAAATGAGAAAAAATGATTGATGAAGCGAACGCAGAAAAATTACATTGCAAATTTCGTGAAAAAGTAGGAAAATTAAGATTAAAAATTAAAATTGTCTAGCGTGTAGATAGCGCTAGATGAAAATACAACAGTATTAAAGTAAATAAAACAAAACAAGATGAAGTAAAATAAATGTAAATTAAAATAAAATTAAAATTAAAATAGCCATCGCGATGACTAAGCGCAAGAACAAATTAGGTTAAGAGTAGTGATGCGGCGAAGAAATAGCATCGGCTATGAGGAGTCTCTCCGAGAAGATTCAAATATGTGGATAACGGTAAAAATTGTTGATACAGGTACTTAGCAGCAAAAGTGTTGGAAGTGTTGCATTCGGTAAGATGTGTAGTGTATAGTGTGTAGAGTGTAGCGGTCCTGGTGTGGAGGCTGTGTTGTTGTTTGCGTTGTTTGCAGTAATGTATAGATCAAAACTCATTAAAATTGGAGATTTGATGAAGGTTATGTTGTAACCAGGCAGGCGGTTTATTCATCCACTGGCCAAAAAATTGACTAAAAGCCAAGAATTTTTAGCAGGAGGCGCAGTGGCCAGCTGGACGAACCCGCCTGCAAAAATATGCCGCTCGAGGAAGTGGCAAAATTGAGAAAATGTTTATTAAGGAAGAGAGCCTCAAAGACCAGTGTGTCGTTACTCACCGAGAAAGAGAGAGAGAGAGAGAGAGAGAGAGAGAGAGAGAGATTTGTCATATCATCATAATACGCGAAGTTCGGAAAATTGTTAAGGACGATTTAGTCGTATCCCGTTGCTTATTAGGATGGGCCATTCGCGGAAATTTCGGTTCTTCTCTCGAGAAGTCATCGAAACCCTCCATAAATTTGTGCAGTACAAAAGTTACAGAAAATATTCCTTCGAGATAAATAAAATCACATAATTATAAAGAATTGAATGAATTAGTGCATAAATATTTTAATTTCGATTCTATCGGTAGAACTCATTTTAAGTTTGTAGATCCCGGTATTGTATGATCAATTAAAATTTTACACTCAACCCGTAATTATACGAATGACTCTTAGGAAGTAGGGGCTACTATGGAAATCCGACAATAAGAATTTCTCAGACGGAAAAGCTCATGCTTTGTCGCGGTTATTGCCCTAGAACTAAATTTAGATCGTGATGAAAAATACGCAGCTTTATATTACAAAGATATGGACAGGTTATTTGAATGTCAATTCGCAGAAAAGGTTACTTAAGAATCGGGAAATGATCGTATTTATTATTTACCCCACTTTGGAGTTCACAATATAAGTAAACCCAAGAAAGTAAGATTAATTTTTGATGCCGCTTCTAAATCAGAGTCAACTTGTTTCAATGATCTTATGTTACTTGGTCCAGACTATTTAAAATCATCACCTGGAATTCTAATGCGTTTTCGTCTGTATCAAGTAGCAGTAAAATCAGACATAAAAGATATATTTATGATAATATAAATTATTCCTGCAGATCATGACGTGCAAAAATTTTTATGGAGAGGAAAAGATAAATCGAAAAAACCAGAGACATGTAGGATGCGAATATTGTTATTTGGTCCCAAATTTTCACCTAGTACCGCTCTCTATATCAAAAACAAAATGCAATGTCGTTTCAATTTTGTTATCCTGAAGCATCACAAAAATAATAGAGAATGATTATATAAATGACTATTTGGACAGTTTTGAATCAAGTATGGAGGTGAATAAAATAGTTCAACAAATAATAGAAATAAACAAAAAAGATTCTTTCAATATGCATAGTTGGGTAACTAATTGCAATTTGGCTCTAAATAACATTCACTCGTTAAATCGCTCAGAAGGAAATTCGAAAGTCTTAAATTCTAGCGACAACATTGTTAAAGTTTTAAGGTTGAAATGGATTAATTCTTCGGATCTATTAGCGTTCACTTTCAACAGTAATAAAATAAAAACTGAGATTTTATCAGGTGAAAATAAACCAACAAAAAGACAATTCCTCGGTATTATCATATCGCGATCTTTTAGATTTTCTATTACCTTTCATAGTTCAGGCACATATTATAATACAACGAATATGGGCTAGTAAAATTCATTGGGATGAAACAATTTTGGACGATGAATTCATTGTTTGGAAAGCTTGAGTACGTAAGTTAAAAAATATTGAATTGATTCGGATTAACAGATGCTATCTGTTGAAAAATTATCAGATTAAAGAAGCAGAGTTGGATGTATTTTATGACGCAAGCTCAACTGCTTATACAGCAATATTACTGCAGATAAATTTTGGTATAGATGGTTGATTCCGACGTTACATACGACAAAAAAAAAGTAAAAAGACCAATCGCAATCAAAAGAGAATAATTTGGTAATTATTACGAATGAAAATGATTCCATAAATTGTTGGAAGAAAGGTATTGTAATTCGCGTTATGCCTGGTGCTCATAAACGAATAAGAGTTGTCGAGATTCCAATTGAAAATGGTACTTTGATAAAACCTAGCAATAAATTAGTTAAGTATGCATAAAAGGGTTTGTCCTTTTATTTGAAAAACCTGTGCAAGATTTTTCATTTCAAACGAGAAAAATTGTATTTGTCAAACTATTACAGAAATTATTTTTTCGAAAACTATGGCTAGGTCGCGTCGCAAAGGGGGCAGAATCCTTGTCATCGAATTATATCGGTAAAAGGCAAGGCTACGGGGTAGTTCCAGCACAGAAGCTAAACTACAGACGGTTAACTGAGCAGTTTCAGATGCAATTCTTTGTGAAGTTTAAATTAAAATCGAATACATAATTCGCTCTTATGATTGTAAAGTTTATGTTGACAACATTTTGAAAATTTTGTAGGTAGGGAGAATGTTCCCGATAGAATTAAGTAAAAACAAAAAATGTGTATTGATATTTATTCGATTAGTTATTTAAGTTACGAATTCGTTTTTTATAACATTACTATGGTATCCAGTTGTTATTCCATAGCAAAAATTATATAAACATTGCGCTTGGCATTTTTCTCACTCTCAAAAAACAACCACAGCCTGTGTCACTTTTCAAAAATAAAACTTCAACTTCACCCTCTGAATCAAAAATATCTTTATTACACTTACATCTTTTTCTCTTTACCATTGTATTATTGTAGGATGCATAATATTTCAAATAAAAAACATTTTTAAAAAATAGAAATTTTTTTCAAAATCATCTACCGTATCATAGAAAAATATTAAGGATCATTAAAATCATTTTAAAGCTTTAAAAAATGCCTTTCGAATGAGTTTAAGTTTACTTAAGTATTATTATTTCCGGCTGCCATCAAAGTTGCTTTGAAAATTTATGAAAATTTTACAACCTTGTGCATACGCAAAACAGACATACATGTCGCAAATAATTTTTTTACAGTACTTTGAAAGAGTATTACAAGACCTTTAAAATAAGCCATATAAAAGTTTTCTCTGATGCATAGAACCTGAAATAAAAAAATTTTTAAATTTGCAGTTTTCATTTAGAGTGAGCTTAAACTTTTAAACAGTAGTGTATACTATTGTGGTAATACACTACTTTCAATTCTAGTCCACAGAAAAATTGTTTATAATATATGGTCATATAATCATCTTAGCTATATATACCAACTATAGGCATGATCGTTTGTTTAGTTTTTGAGTAATATAATATTCCCAGTTTATGATCTTTATCAGCAACATGTCTACTTAGCTGTCGTTAAAATAGTTTGTTTTATGTTTTATAATCATATTAATTAAACTATTTGAATGGATATTGATCTATTGCAAAACAGTAATAGAAACCTTACAAAATTTTAAGACATTTAATAATATAGTTTTTCTTTCGTAGGATTTCGTCAGGATTGGTTATTTTACCATGAATCAATAGGAACTTAATATTTAATTAGAATTTGTAAAATAAACCACATCTTATTATTTTTAAAATGTTTACAGTCTGAAACCATTCTTCCTACTACAATGACAAATGGATGTATTTCGGCCAACTTGGTACCAGATCCTGATACAATCGTCATCGAGATGCAACATGAGACTAAAATAGCTGGTATTGTGAAATGATCATTTAACTTTTCATGGTATGATCAACTTCTATTAATTTGTTATTCGTTATTGATATTTATTTCTATGTTTCGCTTAAATCTAAGTTTAGTCATTTTTGGAATGTGGAAAATCCTGAAAAAATCCGAACCCCTGTGAACATAGAAATAACTAGTTATTGGTGAAAATTTTAAATTAAATAACGAATTTCGGAAGTACTCTTTCTACTTTTTACGTATTTATTATGAGGGAAAGCAGTACCTAATAAGTGTAACAAGGAAAGAAAATAACATTGGGAAACGGGATTCTCTCTTTACCGTTTTTTGTTCTATCTCGTAGAAAAATATAAAATCTCAATGAATAAATACTAAAGAATCAATACTCTATAATGTTAACTTGAGAAGAATTTCATACTGAAATCCATGTTTTGGCTTTCAGTAAATGTTATAAATTCCTCGGAGTCAGTTTTCCACGGTTGAAAATTGCTGATTAATTATTTTTCGACCTCCTTACGACAGAAAATTACTCAAGAACCATTCTTAGTTGGGCCTTTCAGATTGATGACTACTCCGGAAACTTCTTCTGCAGTAAAACTACTGCTGAATATTTTTCAACGATTGAAATCTACTCCGGAGTATTTATAGAAATTTTAAAATTACTCAGAGTTAGTTTCACGTGAATGCAGGGTTTTTTACAAGTAATCCTATTCAAGTGATATCAACCGATCACAACCAAGATAGCACATCGTTAGAACACTAAAAAATATTGAATTCGTGTTTTTTTATTACGGCGGAATCCATTTTTAGGGGTAAAAATCATCCCTTCCAATCCCTAAGCAAGCTAACTCAACCTAACACTCGGGAGAGCGAGTTTATTTAACTGCTTTGCTTTAAGAAAATTAAGATCTCAATCACAAGTAGGCTAACCAACTTTAACCCTGATATACCTCATCCTTCTATACTCTTATAACCTTTATAAACCATCTCTATCCATCTCCAAGCAGGTTAACCCACCTAATTTTGCATGGAAAGAGTTTAATCAACTATTTTATCAAAAACAGCAGTTAATATTATAACGCAAGGAACAAGCTTAGCTACTTGCCCTAAAAACCTACAAACCCATCCTCAAACCCACCCAAACCCTCATTACCCCTATAACAAACTACAAGTAGTCACACTCACCTTAGCCTTGACATTATGAATTGAAAGTCATGTTTATTCCTAGTTATCCAAATTTCAGACAATTCAGGAAGAACCAGTCTAAAATACTCTCTATCCGTCTTACCCCCAACCAACCACCCCTAGCAACCAACAGTTTCACTCACCTAATACTGGATATGGTGAGTTCAATCGCTGGATTTTATTAAAAGCATATAATACTATAACGCTAGGAAACTCACAACCCACTGAGCCTAAATCCATAACCCCAACCTCACAAACGTCAAACCCGCGAACCTAAATTTGACAATCCTTTAATTTCAAAGAAGTGATTGAATATAGTTATCAAACATCATAGTTAATTGAAAAATACAAAATTTCCATAGAGTGTTTGGGGTATCTGTATTTCATATTTTGGGTTTGTGGTTTGAGATATATGAAGTTGAAGTTTGGGGTTTCGGGGTATATGAGTTTAATTTTGTGGCTTTGTAATTTCAGTGTATGTGTCTTTTATAATTGTGGAGGTTTGTAGGTTTGTGGAACGTGGGTTAGAGATTTGTAGATTAGGAGTTTGTGAGTTTAAGGTTTCTAGATTTGCGGAGGAGAGGGGGCATCGCCCAATAGGTCGTTGCTTAAATTTGCCTAACCTTCTAACCTACTTTTTTCTAAGCAACCGTGCAAATAATTTTATTTGTTATCAAATAATAAGTGAAATAATCCGTCATGTAATTTTACGTACCGTCGACATTAGAATAACCAATATGCACCACGTGGAGATTGCCAAACGGATTTTGCATGTTATATGACCCTGGAAAGAGCTAATTGGTTTTCGTTTATTTAAAGGTCTTAAGTGTATCTCTTATTCACAGTTCCACAAAATTTAACGGATTTTTAGTTACAAAAACTAAAGTATACTTTCCAGAAGCATTTTGGTGTGCTGAAAATAGTGTGAAAAAGCGGTTTTTGTCCATTTTTGAGGTTATGTAGCATCGAGAAAAAATTTTTCAGCCAAAAACCGTTCATACCATTTTAAAGTATAGGTTTCCACCTTTCAAATTGTGTTTGTTCAGATATCTTTTTTTTGCTGAGATATCGTATTATAAAGTTTCATAGTTTTCCAAAAGCCTACAAACATTATGCTTATATAGTATAATAAAGAATCCGAATTCATTGAGAGAGAGAGAGAGAGAGAGAGAGAGAGAGAGAGGTGTAGGTTGGTCATGGCCTACACCGTGCGTCCCTTTTCTCTTTCCGACATCGGCAAGGGCTCATGACAAGCATCTGGCGCACGTATGTTTTCGTACCTGATGCCAGTCTTTTCTTTCAACATCGTTTTTTCTCTTCATCAAGAAAGAAAGAGAGAGCAGCAGCAGTATTAGTGAGTAGGAGCGCGCAACAACATGGGCTCTCGTCAGTCACCGAAAGTGTGTGTGTGTGAGAGAGAGAGAGAGTGAGAGAGAGAGAGAGCAGCTATAGTGCGGCTGGGCGCGCGGCACTGGTCACAGTTGGCGGTGCCGTGAGCCGCCGATTAGGCAAGTGAGTCGTGGGGAGGGCGTGAGAAGCAGTCTCTCACGCACTATTGAGTGGTCTCTCGCGAGTATTAAGGAAGTGACCCCACGAGCGAGAGCATACCAGCTAACGCGCCAGCACAGTATTCTGGAGAGCGGCCTTTGTCCACCAGTCACGCCATATCTAAGGAAGTCACCAGTCGGCAGAAAGAAAATCAACGCGCCAGCCCAGCGAACTTCGCCAATTAAACAGGTCATACTTTCTCCTCTTGTTTCTCTTCCTTAATCGGTTTTACTCCTTTTGGCTATTCACGTCTTATGCGCTGTGCCAGGCTCTCGCAAGCCGGCACAGCTGAACTAGTAGTTAAGTTTTCTTTCTTTATTGTGTATCGAGTCAGTGATGAGATGGCAAGGCGCTCACGTGTCGGTCATCTCATTTAGTTGGTAAAAAGTTATTGTGTATTAGGTTAAGGTTTGATAGATTGTTCTGTTCGTCATCGCTCAAGGCAGCGATTTTATAATAAATATATTTGATTAATCTCACTCTTCCCATAGTTAGATGAGTTAGCCTGCTTAGAAATTGGAAGGGGTGGTTCCTATCCCTAAAAAATGGATTCTGTCAAAATAAAATAATATGAGTTCAAAATTTTTTAGTGTTTTAATGATATGCCAAGTGTGGTTGCAATTGATGAGTATCACTTGGGTAGGGTTACCTGTTAGTAGTACAGAGAGTATTTATGGTACAGGGTGGGCCATTTTAAATGACCCAGTCGATTTTCTCGGAAACTATGGGGGTTAGCGAAAAATAGTTCAGATGAAAGTTGCCCAACTTTGAGGGGGACATATCCCTGTGACCTTGCCTTTGACCTCTAAGATCATGTTCAAGGTCATTTGAAGGTCAATTTTGTTTTTTTAAATAGGAACCTTTATTTTTGACCCCGGATTCGGAAAGAGCGGGAAATTCTACGTTTAGATAATGTAATATGTGTGGGATCCACATGAACCCCAAGGCCATGTACAGGACATTTTTCCGGCCCGAATAATCTGGGACGCCTAAGGTTAAGCGTAAACTCTTCAAACAAGTTTCTTCAACTTTCAAGGGTACATATCTATATGACCTTGCCTTTGAACTTTCAGGTTATGTTCAAGGTCATTCGGCCTTCATCTTCGGTTACAGATTAAGCTTTCGTTTTTATGTTTTTCTCATTAAAGAATTAATTAGATATTTATTGTCATATTCTGACATCACCATTCCAAAATTCAGATGATAATCTTAAAGTTATTATTTGTATTTTGTAATTACATAAAATCAGAATGATGTTACATGTAAATTAAATATTCATTGAAAAAAATTACTAATGCAACATCATACTACAAATGTATGAAAAATTCTTCAACTTAACAAAAACAAAATAACTTCAATTCCTTTACGTTCCAAATTTTGGAAAATCATCAAAAGGAAATTAATCATGAAATTTGAGTAATTTTTCAAATTTTCTATTTCCATCAGTCTTGGAAGTTCCGATTGAAATTACGTGATCTTAATTTTGTTTGAGTAATTGAAACCTCTAAAAATGCCTGACTATCAGCCGAATGAGATTATGGATATCTTTTTATGGATATGTTTGTTTTAGGGACTAGTCATAATAATTATCGTGCTGCAGCTAGACTTTACGCTGAACGCTTTCCTCACCGACAACACCCAGATCATAGACAAATAAGTCGCATAACTCAGAGAGCTCGTCGTGGACGTTTAGTTAGGCAACGCAGGCGTCACGTGTATGACGCAAATGATGTACGTGTTCTGGTTGTTCTTGCAATCATTCACCTTGATCCTCATACCAGCAGTCGCCGAATTGAAAGAGGGCATGGTATAGCAAGAAAAACAGTTTTAAGAATTCTCAGAGTCCTAAAATATCATGCTTATCATATTACTTTGATCTAGGAGTTACAACCTGCACATTTCCAACAGCGAATTGCGTTTTGCCAATGGGCCTTACAGATGATACAGAATGATCCAATTTTTTTCAACTATGTCCTTTTTTCTGATGAGGCTAAATTCCAAAGTGACGGAGAACTTAATAGGCATAATTGCCACTATTGGTCGAATGAAAATCCTCATTGGCACAGAACTGTGAATCACCAGAGGCGTTGGAGCCTGATGGTTTGGTGTGGAATCATCAATGGTTATTTGATCGGTCCTTATTTTTTTGAAGAAAACGTTAACGGGAATAGTTATTTACAGCTAATAAGATATCAGTTACCTGCAATGATGGAAGATGTTGATTTACACACGCGACAAAGAATGTGGTTTCAGCAGGACGGTGCAGCACCATATTTCGCTCGAATTGTATGGGCTTTTTTGGATGAAAACTATAATGGTAGATGGATCGGACGAGGAGGTCCAGTTAACTGGCCTGCAAGTTCACCTGACCTCACATCCCCAGACTTTTATTTATGGGGCTATTTGAAAAATGTTGTTTTTGAACAGCAGCCGAAAACTAGAGAAGACATGCAGGATCGCATTCGCCAAGCATGTGCTGCAATACTAAAAGAAACTTTGCTTGGCACTGTGCGCCATTTCCAGAGGCGGTTCGATTTATGCCTCCAAGCAAATGGAGGTAACTTCGAACATTTGCTTCGAGGTTAAATGAATGATATTTAGAATATGCTTAATAAATGACTTCATAAATAGCAGACATAAGTTGTATTTGACCTTGTAATCCTCCGGTACAATAAAATAAACATTACAATTTTACTTTGTTCTAATTTCAAACCCTGACCCCACTCATTTTACCTCATCTAAACGTACAATTTTCCGCTCTTTTCGAATCCGGGGTCAAAAATAGGGGTTCCTATTTAAAAAAACAAAGTTGACCTTCAAATGACCTTGAACATGACCTAAGAGGTCAAAGGCAAGGTCACAGGGATATGTCCCCCTCAAAGTTGGGCAACTTTTATCTGAACTATTTTTCGCTAACCCCCATAGTTTTCGAGAAAATCGACTGGGTCATTTAAAATTGCCCACCCTGTATAATTTAAAATCCTCATTTAATTGTTACGTGTAGAAATACCAATCCGATTACAATAATATGCTGTGTCGATCAAGGGTAATATCGATAACCCAAACAGTCAAACGTCAATCTAGCAATGCAAATATACTATATGTGAAGTGGTGATCGATGGTCGAGCCACTATAGTGGCTTTCCCGTCCTCTAAAGGTTAAAAAAAAAACTCATTTTACAGATATTTGATTTTCAAAAAAATATTCTGATTAGGGTATTAGTCGATAAGAAAAACAATTTTCAAAATCAAGTTTCAACTATGGATAACTAACCCAGAGAATTAAGCGGTGATTGAAATTAAAAAGTTTTGCAGAGATGCGATTATTGAATAATATTCTGGAGCAATTTTCAACTACTGAAAATCATTCTGAGTATTATTCGACCCTATTGCAAAAAATGACGTCATAAAAAGACGTCTTTCAAAGACGTCTTTTTATGACGTCATGTGTCACGTCCTGATTTGGCACATAAAAAGACGTCATTTTCCAACTTTTTTAATCAGTAAAATCTGAAAAGACGTCTTTTTCTCCCGCAAAAGACATCATTTTCCAACTTTTTTAATCAGTAAAATCTGAAAAGACGTCTTTTCCTCCCGCAAAAGAAGTCATTTTTCAACTTTTTTAACCAGTAAAATCTGAAATGACGTCTTTTCCTCTCGTAAAAAACGTCATTTTTCAACTTTTTTAACCAGTAAAATCTGAAAAAACGTAATTTTCAAATTTACTATTAAAGTTTGTACAGGAATCTTGTCATTGTATAGGAAAATGGGTTCTCAAAAAACTTCATTTTTTAATATTTTATAACGTTTTTAAATAAAATATATGACTGGATGGAGAAATAAAATAATATCTTGTTGTCCAAAAAAAATTCAATATTGTTGGTGGCTTTTCGTATTTATAAGTTAGATATTACAACTTCAATGGAATTTTCAAAATAAAATAATAATATAGTTACATAATATACAAAAAGAATTGATAATAATAATTATGTTCAAGCGTGTAACGACATCTTTATCGATATTAATAAGACTCCACATTCGGTACTGGGCACAAATAAGCTGCGTCGTTGTGGTTGATATAAACGCAAATTTTATGTATTGTATTTGTTTCAATAGCTCTAACAAGTGGACTGATACTTTCAATTCTTTTGATTGGAAAATCATCGTAATGATGATTCTCATCGTGAATATTAATAACATTAATACTTTTACAAATTGTGTATTCTCTTCCATTTTCAACATCTACAATAAAATAATCTATTTGAATAAAAGTACTGTTCCTCGTTTGAGCAAAAGAATTATTTGATCGCAATCTTGTTGTGTAACTAGACAAGTATGTACATTCTAGTCTCACTAACTTTTTATACACTACCGCTGAATCTGGCAGATTCAGATTTTCAACCCATCGCGGCTCTGGATGAGAAAATTTGCCCAATATCGACCATTATTCGTTTTCAATATTTTTGTACATTCTCTGGTTTCTAAATATCTAACATAGTCTAGGACGTGAGAGTACGGGTTGTTTCTTAAGATAAAATTGGTTAAAATATATTCGCTCCGTTTTATCCCAATATTCCTGCATACTTGATGTATAACACCCTTCGCAGCGTGTACCTGCTTAACTATTTGTCCATTACCATTCTCAAAGCCGTAACCAGAATGATAATGTAAAGGACCCCAATTGATAACACTTTGAGAAAGGTGTAGTAATCTGTTAATGCGACAAAAATAGTTAATAATCGATGTGCTTCGCGTACTTGATCTCTACTTATGTTATTTTGTAATAAAATGTAATATCCTCGTACAAAGTATGACCAATGTATCGCGTAGTATCTCATTCGAGGAATAAGTAGCAGACAAGGTATACTGTAATACAGGATCCAATTCTGATACTCTTTAGCTTTCCAGTGTTTTCTATCTTTTAAAGATCGAGAATTACGCATGAGTTTGCTTGGGACTTTGTATCTTTTTAATGCACTATCAATAATTTCAATTTCAGCATTAGTTAAAGAATAAGGCATATTACTCGTATCTACCCAATACTTTACGAACTGCTTACCGATCCCTGAATCACAACAATGTAATGGATCAACAACAAACCCGGAAATGATATTGTAAAATCGTAATTCGATTAAAATAGCTTGATTTAAGAATCCGTAAACCGATTGTCCAGATTCAAAAGTGTCTCGCATATGAATTAAACTATCTTCGTGGTTTCTATCAGGCACAGGCTCATCCGTTATAATGTATTTCACGCAACCCCCTCTACCAACTGCAATGTAATATCCAGGGTGCAAGCACCAGTTACAGCCGTAATAACCATTGAATTGAGTGAGTCCTTGCATTGGCGCACGCGCAACAGTCATCGCATGAACAAATCGCATATGCATAGACAGTATAAGGTGCATCTCGGATATTCAATGTTATTTCATTATCACCTAGTTCATTCATTAATGTAACAAAAGGTCTTAAAAAAACGTTCATATCCGGCTTGCTCCGCCCGAACCATAAACCGCATACTATTGGTTTTGAAATTCTCAATTTAAATGGTAACTCATTAACCATTATTTGGATAGGCCAAACTGAAAATGCTGAACTTTCAAAAACTGGCGAGCCATCACTATTGAAAGTTAGAGTTACAAAATCATTCTTTTTATTGTTAGGCAAAGAATTTTGAAGACGTTTGTACGCTAAGCCGTTGTAAAATTCGTGTATGTTTTCGTGATTTTGAGTTCGAGCTTCCACCACAGATTCGTAAAAAAGCCAGTTGTCTTTTAAGAGTTCTGCTATTTCAGCCTCTGGATTGATTATACAAAAGAAATCTCTGTAATTAGCATCATTTAGAAAAATTTCTAAATCGCACGCTTCACAGTGAACAACATTATCGTTTTCGCGATTGAATTGAGACACAAAACCTTTACAATTAGGACACAGAGCATAATAATCAATATTATCAGTAAAATTAAACATTTTGTCAATAAGATATCTTGATTGCGGTAAATCAGTACTAGAAAAAAAAAGGTTCAACATTTTGAAGAGGTCTGCAATAGCAGATTGTGATAAGTTATGTACTAACGCTTATTTAATAACTGCTAAAAATATTTCAGGTTTAGTCACGTCCACTCTTCCATTGTGCAAAACGTTCTCTTCATCATCGATCAACAATTCTTGTAGTTAATTGTGAGGGGCACCATTTTGATCGATTACACCATAATTGAAGATATCGTATACTAAAAAATCATCATCACTAGCGTATTCGTCTTCTTGCTCGTCAAGTAATTGCTGATGTACATTTTGTCTTCTGACATCCTTAAAAATGAGAAAAAAATCAATACTGATGTGCACTTTTGTAAGGTTTTGTAATATTAACCCTTAGCTGCCACGCTTATTTTTCAGCATTTTCTTTCAATAATTTTTGTCAATGTTTGTGGAAAAAGAATAAGTTGCAATAACCATTGTGTCTTACCACAAAAAGGTTGAAATATACTAGAACAATTTTTTTAATGAATTAGTTAATTACTGATTGAGTTATTTTGTATGTTTCGTCAATTTTTTGAATTTTTCACATTCAGACTATAGTGGTGTCACGGGCAACAGGTTCAGTTAGCACCGTGTAAATCAGCCTGGGTTATTGACCCTAGCGTGGCAGCCAAGGGTTATATTAATATTCTATTGCAAGACTCAATAGAATATCATAGCTTAAACTGAAAATTAAAAGAGAGCTTATTCAAATCTTAAAAATATATCTCAACTTCACGCAAATGGAAGATAGGTTTTTTTCTAAATCAGTATGAGTTTTTCGATTTTTTTTGGAAAACTTTCAAAGCAATTTCCAATTAAAAAAAAACAGTAAGAGTGATTAAAGATCCCAAGAAGTCTAGATTTTTTTCGTAGGCCTCAGATAAAATAACACGTCTTTTATTTTGGAAAAAGACGTGTTTTTCTTTTAAAAATTACGTAATTTCAGATTTTTCTATGCTCTAAATCTAAAAAGAAGTCTTTTTACCATGAATAATGACGTCATTGGGCAAATTTTTATCATTTGGTTAATCAAAAAGACGTCTTTTCCTAAAAAAAAGACGTCATTTCAGATTTTTTTAGGCTCTGAATCTAGAAAAACATTTTTTTCTTATGAATAATCATGTCATTGCGCAATTTTTTGTAATTTTCCTCTGGGAAAATCATGTCACCGCCCAGTTTTTTACATTTTTTAAATCGGAAAAGACGTAACTTAAGATTTTGTGTGTAGGCTTCAAATGTAAGAATTCATCTTGCATTTTATAATATAAACACACGTATTTTTTTAAAGACGCAATTGTCGATTTTATAGGCTACAAATTTAACCAGACGTCTTTAACTTGCAATAGATTACGTATTGCTTCCTCGTAGAGGAAGCTTTGATTTAGTAGAAAAATAAGTTGTCGTAAAAACATCATGGAAGTATGTTTTAAGCTACAAGGAAACGTTTTACATAATTTTTTGAAAATGTCTGTATGTATGTATGTATGTATGTATGTATGTGTGTGTGTATGTATGTGTGTGTGTATGATGTGTGTGTAGTACATCAAAATAACTCAAGTTGTATAC